CAGGTAGGGAATGTGCTCCAATGGCATTTTACCCTCAGCTGTGGCAGTACACAGCAGCAAGAAAGGTGATTCCTGTGACGCTGTGCAGGAGTCAAGACTCAGTATCTTGGCTTAGCATGGCAAAGTTAACATGCTTTGACAGACTCAGGATCAAAAATATTTTGGTTTTATACTTGTGTCAATAAACACCAAGTGAAATGAACCAGCCAGCAGGTTTCTTTGCAGAGAGGACCTTTGCTCCAGTGTGACAGTGGTGGTTTGGCAGGCAGGAGGGAGACAGGCAGAGTGGTGGAACCACATACTAACACTGCAGCACTTCAGCAACTGAAGTCACCATATTAAGTCCAGTTTAACTTAGGGGGGGTAGTGCCTCTATGGATTGATCCAGAGCAATAAAATTCAAAGTCTGCTACAAGCATTGAATATTCTCCAGGTACACACTGCAAGAGTAAATATCTCTCGTTTCCAGCTCTTGCCATGAAAAATTTCAAACAATACTCACGTAAAATAAATTTATATCCTCTAACGTCTTAAGTGGATGATCTGTATTCCACACCATTCCGATATTTCTTTCAGAGTTATTAAGTCCTAACATGCAGGATGAAGTGATTAATGTTTAAAATGTTTAAAACTAAGCAGTGCAATACAGCAACAGCCTTTGCTGCATTTTTATGGCATCTACCTAGGGAGGGGCCCACTTACAAAACCACTTCTGTTCTTCAAGGACGTGCTGTGCACCAGTCTGGGAAGGGCCAGCAACTGGCTCTGCTTTCCTGCCATGCCACGAGCACAGAAGGTGTGTTTCACACCAGCACAGCCTGAAACTCAGGGAATCTTCTAAGAAGTGAAAAAAGTTCTTTCTTCTGTAATTTCTTGCTTGTGTTCTCTGTTGTTTTGACTGGGCACCACTGAGAGGAGCCTGGCTCCATCATATTTACCCTCCCTGGCCTCATCAGGAGTTTGTACACATGGTTGAGAATCCCTCAAGCCTTCTCCACCCCAGCTCTCACAGCCTCTCCTTGCAGCAGCTCCTGCTGGTGGAGGGCTCTGTGCCCTCCCTGTGTCTGCACCTCCCACTGCATCAGGGACACAAACCAAGTAGATGATTTTCTTGGGCAATAAGTGGAAGAATTTAGTTTACACTGTGAGAACATTGACTTCATGGAGGCATCTGGATGACTGTTAGCAGGGCCACTGACTTCACAAGGAATAAACAAAAAGGGAAGTTCATGGCATCTGCTTTTATACGGATGTTCTTGGAAGTTCATTTGTTTTCACATTCAAGTCTCACAAACTTTTCAGAGGTCGGACAAAGAGCCTGACTCTTTCTATGGGAAAGAGAAGAGTTGGTGCAAAATGTGCTGTAAACCATAAATTACGTTGAATATCACATAAACAATATTTTGGAGAGGTAAGATGGGGAGCCTGACCAAGATTTTATACCAGCTTTCAAAAGAAAAGGTAAACTCAAACTCCTTTGTCAGGCATTTAGGCCACAAGTTTAAAATAGGTATTGCACCGACAGCTAGTAAGTTCCTATCTCAAAATTCTTTTGGGAGAACAAAAGTTAGACTTGGAGGTTACAGAATATCCTGGAAACAGGTTGGAAGGAAATGCAGATCCACAGCCATTTCTTTCAGTTATTGTCAGGTTTGCTAATAATTTCTATACGACAGCCGAGCTGAGGTATCAGTTTGTTCCCTGCTGTACAGGACTTCTGCCAGGGTCCTGCTTTTCCCGAGTCACAGCGGCTGTAACCGGGAGAGAGTTGGTTTTCACTGGCTCTGAGTAAACGCCTCGGAGAAAACCCTTCAGAAAACACCTGAAAATTCAGCGGAGCCGCTCTGTTGTGCTGGCACCCAAAGGGCAGCAGGAACAGTGTCCCGGTGCCATCATTCCAACCCCCCGCACTCTCCCGAGGTTTCCCGGCGGGAGAACGGGAACGGCGCCGGGGGCACAGCGCCCCCTGCCGGCCGCGCCCGGCGCCCCGCGCGCAGAACGGAGCCCCAAAAACACCCCAAAGCACCCCAAAACACCGCGTTTAGACTCGGCTCTGTGCCAAAGACTGCATCGCTCCTGGGGCTCCCGTTTGCTTTTTACGGAGCGGTGCTGGAAAACTGTGAGTACAGACGCATATTCCATTTCCTTTCCGGAGAAAATCAAGGGCTGGAGCTGCTCCAAAGAGGCGGGTTTCTGCCAGCACAAGCGGAGTCTCTGCACCGCTGGATCAGCCTAATGTCATGCAAAGAAGACACAAACACCTGCAGAAAACCTTCCCGATTAGAGCGGTGATAGGACAAGGTGGAATTGCTTCACACCGACAGAGGGCAGGGTTAGATAAGATACTGGGGAAAAATTCTTCCCTGCGATGGTGGGGAGGCCCTGGCACAGGTTGCCCAGAAGAAGCTGCCCCATTCCTGGTATTGTTCAAGGCCAGGTTGGACGGGGCTTTGAGCAACTTGGTCTAGTGGAAGGTGTCCCTGCCCATGGCAGGGGGGTTGGAACTAGATAATCTTTAAGATCCCCTCCAATTGAAACCATTTTACGATGATTCAATGACGATGATGATCATTTTCCCGCCAGTGATTTGTGTAATCAGAGAGGAATGGGAAAGTAGTTACTAATATTTTGACCTCTAAAATTTTCCACAGTAAAAGCTCCTAATAAATCAGTTTTATCTCAGGGGTGTGTTTGTGTAAAACAACAAACTAATACCCAGTATCAAGGAAAACTGATAAACAGGTAAAAGGACTTGCGGTAGAGGATGAGGAAGGAGTCAACATGATGGGAATTTTTTTCTCCTCGTTCCTACTCTGCAACTTTAAATTATCTTGTTTCCTGCACAGCTGGACTTTGCCCAGAACAAACTATTTCATTCCTGTAAGACTAATTGGGTGTGTTATGATGTGAAACACACACGTAACATTGTACTGTTGTAACAGAAAATAAGGTTGGCTGGAAAGCTCTGTTGATTTTATGGTAAAATCAACAAGAAGGGACGAGGATGGTGAGAAACTTCCCACCAAGGCCTAACACACAGGCAAGGTGCTGGGATCCCTGTAGCCTGCACAGTAGCAGAGAATACAGATGATGGCTGAAGACATCAGGGCTGGCCCCAAGCAAGAAGCATCTTTTAACCCCAGAGGCTGCTGCTCCTGCTTTTTTCAGGAGCCCTCAAATCATTGTCAGCAGCAGGGCAGATTTTTCTTTCACTGCTCTGCCAACAGGGCATCTCATCTGCAAAGGTTCCCTACCCAAATGGAAGAGAGGATTAACCACCAATTCTCCTCAGACCTCTCTGGGAGATGCCACCATTGCAGATTCCAGCCAAACAGGAGATTTCCTTCCCCACCCCTGTGAACAACTCTGCTGAGAAAAAAAAATAAAATAAAATTCTCCAAGCACTCTGGCCCTTAGTGCTGTGCTGCAATGACCCCTCTGTCCCAGGCTTTCCCTGTTTTACCTAAAGGACATATGGCTGCACACTTTGCACTGAGAAACAAATACAGGGACAAGATGCTTCTCCTTTAGTGATTAGTTAAAGAACTCATAACACTGAAGTATTTTGTCCCCACTGTGTGTAACAAAGGTGACTACTCCCCTGATTTATAAACCCACTTTGCCAACAAATAAATCATACTATCTACTTTAACCCTGCAGCACGACTATGGGAAATAGTCTTATAAAAATCACAATTTGTCTTTGAGAAAACTAAATGAATTAAGAAAGATGGGACTTCACGTCTCATGAA